GGGGACAGGGGGGACGGATGGGGGGTTGCGGAGCCAGCACCCACATTTTCCCGGCAGGTGGGTGGCCTATGAGGGCGCCAACTTTTCGGGTGAGCAGTACATCCTGGAGAAGGGGGTGTACCGCAACTGTGAAGACTGGGGTGCCACGGATTGCCGCATCGCCTCGGCGCAGCCCATCCTGCAGGTGAGAGCACTGGACACCCCCCCCTTGGCCACAGGACCCACCGGTGCCACCATGCACTGGGCTGGTGGAGGCCGGGCCGGGGCAAGACACCAACCAGCCCCACTCTGTCTGCTTCCAGGTCGGGGAACACAACCTCCATTTCGTCTCCAAGGTCAGGGGCAGTGGATGGGGAGCGGGATGTGCCCCGCTGGGGGCCGCGGCCCTTTTCTGGGTGGTGGCGATGCTTTGCCCCCCCACACTGACCCTCTCTGCTCTCCCCTCCCCAGATCCTGCTCTTCTCAGAGCCTGACTTCTTGGGGGACCATGTTGCCTTTGAGGAGGACCAGGACACCCTGCCCGCCGCCTTCGTCCCACGCTCCTGCAGAGTCCGTGGGGGCAGGTGGGGTGTCCCGGGGCCTCGCTGCCTCCGGCTGGGGATGGGAACAGGGACATCACCCTGGCCAGCAGCCCTGCAGACCCTTGTGAGGGTTCCCCTGGGAGGTTGGGCAGGACGTGGGATGCTCTGGGGGGGATGCAGGAGGGATGGATGCCCACCAGAACGATCACATCAGCCTGGGCACGCTCCTTCCTGGCAGCTGGATCCTGTTTGACGGACAGGCCTTCGCGGGGGAGCAGCACGTGCTGTCCGAGGGCGAGTACCCCACGCTCAGTGCCATGGGCTGCCTCTCCTCCTCCACCGCCATCCGCTCCTTGAAGAAGGTCCCAGTGGTGGGTACCAGCCTTCCCTTCCCCTCCCACCTGGGCAGAACCCCCCCTCAGAACCTTTTTCGCCTCCTGCAGCTGGCTCTCCAGTCTTGGAGCCTTTCTGCACCCACGGGTGCTCGCCCCTCCTGGTTGCCCCCCTCACGCCTCATCTCTTCCCCCATCCCAGTTTTTCTCAGAACCCTCCATCTTCCTGCACGGGCTGGAGTGTTTTGAGGGGAAGGAGATCGAGCTGAACAATGAAGTGCGGAGTCTCCAGGCAGAGGGTTTCAACAACCACGTGCTGTCGGTGCGCGTCAAAGGCGGGATGTAAGTGAGCCCCAGCCCCGCTGTCCCCTGCCTTGGCCGGTGGGCGACACCTTGTCCCATCCTGTCCCATCCTGCCCCCACAGCTGGGTGCTGTGCGAACACGGTGACTTCCGAGGGCGTCAGTGGCTGCTGGATTGCACTGAAATCACCAACTGGCTGACATACAGCGGGCTGCAGCACGTGGGATCCCTCTACCCCATCCGTCAGGTGAGCGTGGCCCTGCGGGAGGGGGATGGGGTGCTGGCACCCGGTGGGGTGAACCCCAAAACCCCGAGGCAGGTGGCTCACATGGAGCTAAAGAGCTGCCGGTCCCGATGGCCAGGAGGAGGATGCGGCGGCGGCTCAGGGTGAGCTGGGGGGGACAGCGGGGCACGGCCTGGAGAGCAGCACATGCTGCTGACAGCTCCTGGCCGGTGAAAGGTGCCACCAGCCCAGCTGTGACACCCCCAGATCCCTGTGCCCCACCCTGGGAGTGGCCGCCTTGGTGGCGAAATGCTCCCTGTGGGCAAGCGTCTTGCAAAACATCCCGGCGGGGAGAGCCATGCCCGGCTACAAGACAGGCCAGGGCCAGGGAGAGGCAGGGGACAGGGAGGATCCCCCGGGGAACAGCCCCAGGGGACCAGGGTCCTCTCTTCCCAAAGCCGGGTGAGGTCCTTCCTCAGCCAGCCATGGCGTGTGAGGCCGGAGGTGCTGGCAGCAGGGTTTTCTGGTGCAAAAAATGTTTCTCTCTTCCCAGAGACGGATTTATTTCCGCATCAGGAGCAGGGAGCTGGAGCTCTACCTCTTGGTCCCTGACGACGTGGAGGACATGAAAGCGGGGAGGGTGGTGGTCTCCAGCCTGAGCGAGCAGAGCAGCTCTGTCTGGTACTACGTGGATGGGCTGATCAAAAACCAGGTCAGAGCTCACGTGTGAGAGCCAGAGGGGACCACGGAGCCCCTGGCAGGACTCCCCACCCCACAGTGATCTTTTAGGGTTTCTAACAGCCTTTTCCAGCATCAGAACTCAGCCTCGTCCCCAACGATCAGTTGATTCTCTCCTTCCCAGGCCTCCCCTGGACACATGAAGGCATCTCTGCCTTCCCTGAGGAGTTTTTGTCACCCTAATTATCCCCACCTTTCACTGAGGGGTTTTCCTTGCTCATCCCACATCCCATCCCAGAACCAGCTGCATTTACAGGGAAACCCCCCTGAGCTCCAAGCCTTTGCATTGGGCAGAGGCGATGGAGAGGAGCAGGCTGACCTGGGCACCACCACTCCTTGCAGGTGGCCCCCAACATGAGCCTGCAGATCATCGGGCCAGCTGGGAAGGGCGCGAAGGCTGTGCTGTGGTCCGAGACTCGGATGCCACGTCAGACCTGGAGTGTCGATTCTCAGGGACGGATCCACAGCCAGATGTTCGAGGACATGATCCTGGATATAAAGGGTGAGGCCTCGGCACTGGCACAGGGGTGCCTGCTTTCCCAGGAACCCCCCAAAACAGGGTGTTTGGCTGTGAGATGGGGCACCCACCCCTTCACTGCCATCAGAAGGCTGGTCTGCCCCCCCTGAAACCCTCTCCTCGCCCCTCAGGTGGCCGATCCTACGACCGGGACCACGCCATCGTTTGGGACATGGCTGAGGAAAGACCCACACAACTCTGGGACATAGAGGTGCTATGAGGGGGCGGCGTGTGGCCCTCGTGCCCAGAAGTGCCACAGGGCAGGACGGGGACACTCTGCCAACGTCCCCACACCGGGGCAGGAGGTGTCCTACCCCACGCACACCGCACCCCAAACACCCTCTGGCCCGGCTGCTGGGGTGAAGGATGCCCACCATCCCCTCCATCACGAGGGAGAACCATCCTCCTCCCTCCTGGGGACCCCCGTACGTGGGTCATGAAGGACCCCATGGACACGACCGGTGTGGGACCCTTCGGAGAGCGGCAGAGCCCCGACTTCCCCCCTGAACTGTATTTATGTACGTGTGTAAGATACGGCCCCCTCGCCCGGGCCAGCTCTGCCCGGGTGGTCACTGTCTTTGTCCTTGTCCTTGCACCGGCCCCAGCCTGGCAGCCCCGACGCTGGGGAGCTGCCCCCCACCCCAGCACCTTGCTCCCCTCCAAGTGCTGCAGCACAGGCCCCAATCCTGCTCCCACCGTGGGAACCCGGTGCCCTCTAGTGTCCACAGGCCACGAGCAGCACCAGGGCCCGAGGTTTCAGGAAGGGAGGTGCAGGCCGAGCTGTGTCCCGGGGAGCGCGGGGGGGGGTCCTGGACCCCACCAGCCCCAGCTCGGGGGGGGTTCCCAGTTGCATCACCCCAGGGTGAGCTCTGATTCAGCAGCAGCCCGTGTCCACATGGCAGAGCTGTGTCGTGGCTGAGGCCATGTGTGTCCGAGGTCCCCAGGACAGAGATCTCCTCCGCCGGGGTGAGGGCAGGAGCTCCCCAGGGTCATGATTCAGAGCCAGAAGGGACACGGGGTGAGAAATCCACACATGCGGAGACACCAAGCGCTTCTGTCCTCACTGCTGGGGAGAGGAGACGGCTGCCAGCAAGGGCCCGGTTTGCTGAGCAGGTTGGGCCCAGTTTGGGGAGAATCCCTGCACTCGGGCAGCGAGATCAGTCCCGCAGCAAAACCGGGCTGTTACGGCAGCAACGGGCAGCGCGCTGCCTCCCCGGGAGGTTTCCTCATGTGCACCGAGGTCCTTACATCAGGCCTCTCCAGCTGGCTGGTGAGTGCTCTGGCTTTCAGCAACAGCCATGATCAAATGTCCCATCGTGATGCTGAAACGTGTCCCCAGTTGCCCTAAGACCTGTTTGGGCAGACGGACACGTAACCACGCGACAGTAGAGCGGAGCGTGCTGCGCGGGGACGCCCGGCTCCAGCGTGCTCCTCTGCCAGGCCAGCGGGCGAGCAGACTCTTGCTGGCCTGAGCCCAAACCACGTGGGCAGCGGGGACAGGCAGGGCAACAGGCAGGGCAACGTTGAGGGCAACGCCAGGCCTGCAGAGCTGGCAAACACACGGACACTGAGTGCCAGGGCCAGCAGCACAACCCCATCCCGTGAGAAATGCTGGCGGGAGGGTGGAGGAAGCTGCCAGAGGACTGGGAGTGAGGGTGCAGGAGACATGCCGGGAGGATGCTGCCACCCTGTACTGTCTGGGCTGTACCAGGGACATCGAAGCACACAGGTTCAGCCCAGCTCTGTGGGTCGGAAAACCCCTCCTAGGGCGGTGGGAAACCACCATTCCTGAGCCAGCGCTGCGCCTGAGAGGAAGCACCTCATGCCCTCACCCGCCCTTATAGAGCCCTTGGGGCCTGGACTGGGGCCACGGGTCCCTCTCGGAGCTGGAGAAAGAGTCAAGCCGTTGTCCCACCCCAGTCTCACTCACAGGGCTCAAGTGTGGCAGCAAACAGCCCCTCCAAGACCCCCCAGCCCCCCTGGTGTCACCCACCGTCCCTGTTACTGCCCCAGCCCCACAGGGGAGATGAATCTGAGGCTTCTACACCAGCTTTATTTCTCAGAATCTCACAGCAGGCCTGTTCCCGAGCTGGGGCAGTTTAGGGGGGTTATTTTGAGGCTGAGGGGAGCAGAGGCAGGCAGGGCAGGGTACAGGCTGCTCCTCTGTGCTGCAAGGGTCCAAGGAGGTGCCAAGGCCAGGGATGCCATCCTGGGGGTGTCTCCCTGGGGAGGGGGCGTAGGGGGTCAGCGCAGCCGCAGGAAGAAAGCCACAGCCAGCCCCAAGGCGAGGGAGAGGAGTGGGCTGCCACAGGGAGGGCTCAGGCTGCTTACGATCTGGCTTGCAGTGGTGTGGGAGGTGGCCGTGACCCCCTCCCCCTCCTTTGCCCGGCCGAGGGGCTGGAAAAGAAAACGAGAGAGAGTCAGGAGTCACTCCAAACCAGAGCAGGCAGCAACACGGGGTGGAAACCCACCCTAAAGCCCTCACCCGGGGGGCAGAAAGGAGCCAGGGCACCCCAGTGCCCATGCTGCCCCTTCCCAGGAGGAACACGTGGCCTCCTCTCCCCCACACCACACACAGGAATCACAGAAATCACTTTCCCAAGGCAGCGAGTGGAGTGAGCTCTCCCTCTCATCTTTACTCCGTTTCTAGCCAGGGGCTTTTAGAAACTGGGGAAAGGAGGGGAAGGAGAAGCCGGAGGGAGCGGTCTGTGCCCCTCAGATTGCTGTGAGGAAGTGGCTGGGCCATGGTAGCCCACGGGGCCTGTGACAGAGGATGTGGGGTGCAGGAGCAGAGCTAGGAAACACCCGTACGGGAAGCAAGGGGGAGGAGGAGGAGGAGGGGCCCCATCCCCCTGGCACTACGGGTTGTCACAAACAGGGACGTTGCAGTCAGTGTGTGAAATGTAACCCGTCTGGGATGGTGATTTCAGAGCAGTTTCCTTCCGTCTAAAGATCAGCACCTTCCAAATTAAGGTGTTGGTGTCAATCTCTCCTGCCCTGGCTGTGCAGGACCCCTCTCTCTAAGATTTTGGTCCTTTCCTGGGACTCCTGGTGTAAGCAGGACAGTGACAAGCACTGCCTTGGGCTGCTGGAAGAGCAATGCCATTTCCCTCCATGAACCAGCCCCCACACTGGTTCACCCCACTCCTCAGGTCCTTCCAGAGCTGGGCCAGGGCCAGGGATGGGTCCTCAACGCCCAGCTCTGCCCCACCACAGGCATTCTTGAACTATGAGGGGTTTTGACTGGCTTGCACGGCCACAGAACGGGACTCCTGAAATGTAAATACACCCTGTGGAGCCAGCAGCAGGTTGCAGCTGCGTGGAGTTCATGAGTGAAATATGCACTGTCAAATCTGGTCCCCTTTACCAAAGGAAAAAAAAAAAAAATCAACCAGAGAGTTGCTCCAAAGAGCATCGCCCTTCCTGAAAGCACCGGCACCTTTCTGCCTCCCACACAACGGTCCCCACCCAGGAGAGAGTCAGCTACCAGCGCAGCACTTGCCCCCTTGGAGCCTCCCAGCAGGAAGAAAAACAACCTCCAGCAGGGAGAGGGGAGAGGAAACCACACAGCTAAGTGCCCCCCCAGCATCCCCCCCATCCCCAGTGTCCCCACACCGGGCACAGGCAGGGGCCAGGGCCAGCACAGAGAGGAGAGGCTGCGAGATGGGGTGGAGAGCTAAGTGTGAAGGTTATGGATGGGAGTGATGCTCTTAAGTTAAAAAAACGTGGAAGTATTTAGACCTTATGGACCACAGCGCAAAGCTCCTGATAAAACAGCCAGGGTTAAAGTCACAGAAAGTCAAACGCTCGGGTTTCCAGCTGAACTTCAGCAGCAATTCTCTCACCAGTTGAAGCATACAGACCCCTAACAGCCGTCACACCCATGGGACAGAGCTGGCTAGACACCCCCCGCCTCCACAGGGCCCCACAGCCGTGGGGTTTCTCTTACCATGCAGAGGACAAGCAGGGTGAGCAGGAGGAGCAGGTGGGCACGCTGGAGGGGCTGCATGGTCAGGGCTGGGCTCACAGTGTGCTGTGACACTTCCCCATCTGCTCGCAGCAACGGCAGCTGGAGGCTTTAAGCGCAGTGCTGGCCCTGTCCCACCAATCACATCTTTCTCCCCTGCACCAGCCCCGCCGCCCCAAAGGGTTGTTTTGAATCCAGGACAATTTGGGGAAGTCGCAGACGATGCTGATGCTGCTCCTCCTGTTCCCCAGCACAGCCAGCCCTGAGCAGGGTGTCCCAGCCAGCACCTCCAGCAAAGGCAGCGAGCCCCTCGTCCTGCCTCTTCCCACATCACAAAATACCACCTGCAGTATGAACCCCCCCAGACTGAGCTTTGCTTCTCTCCAGGGGCTCCCTCTCCCTTGTCCCACACCCCTGAAGAACTAATAGTTCTGGGTTAAAACCCCACCCTGGTTCACTGGGAGAGTTTGCAAATCAGGGACAGCTTTTAAACTTTTAAACAGGGCTCTGTGTTGCACCACGTAACAAACCTCCTTCTCAGCAACTCAGTGCAGAAGCTGAGTCCAAGCTGTCCCTCAGAATTTGTTACACACCTGGGACAGTCTGATCTGAGTAACAGATCAGGGAGATGCTTCCTTCCAGCCCCCCAGTATCCATCTCCTCACAGCAGACCTGAGCTCCCTCACCCAGTCAAGTGCAGCAGCAAACAAAAGGGATCTGGTTATTTCTAGATAGACTGAAGTAAATAAAGCTACTGAAATGTGCCGAGCGCACACACCTGTTGTCTTATTATGTTGGGGAAGTGCATCACAGCGCAGCAAGCCTGTCACCAGCCTCCACACGGAGCTGAAGGTTTCTATGCAGCAAAGCTTCACCCAATCTTGTGAATTTGCATTTCATAGAAGTGTCAAAATAAAAGTCTCATGGGGACAGAGAACACCCCGCAAAAGGTGCTAAAAATCAGCCTATTCTGCTCCTCTCCAACTGATGAGGCTGAGCTCTCCAGAGAGTGGGGCAGCATGGCAGTGGCGGGTGGGACATGGGACATGCAGAGAAGGAGCTCTGGATGGTGGCAAACGAAATGCTGGGTGTTCAGAGCACCAGCGAGGCAAAACGAGTGTGTGGTATCCCTTGGTGAGGGAAAGCATTGCTCGAAAACAGAGATGAAGCAGGTGAGGAAATCAGGAGCAGGCGCACGGTGCATGGTGCCTCAGGTCAGGCTGTCTGTGAGCTGAAGCTTAGGGCGTGCAGAGGGCAGCTGAGGAAAGGAAGCGTGGCAGCCTGTGCTGCTCCTGCCCTAGGTCCCACCCCGGCACCAGGAAGAGTTTGAAGCACTCTGAAGTGAACTGAGATCAGAGATGCGCCATTTTGCTGCCGGTGTGCGGGGCAGGGAACGGGCAGGGAGAAGTCTGGCCTGGCTGGGGGCGCCTGCCAGCAGCCCGAGCCTCCCTCCTCAAGTGACGAAGAGCGGGGGCTTCCCCCGGCTTATCCCTCCTCCAGGCGCCGGTTCGGGCAGCGGCCGGCAGCGCAGGCCCGGAAGGTCCCGCAGGCCGGGAACT